CCTATTCAGTTTTTTTAATTGCACTAATCACATTTCAAATGATCAACAGTCAGAAGTGGCTTGTGGCTACCACCTTGGACTGAATATACAGAGAACTTTCCATTATTACAGAATGTTACACTGGGCAACAGTGATTTGGACCAATCAGCCTTTACTGAAGCATGTGGATGAGACTGGGATACTTGAGCAAAATTAGAGTCTTGAGAAGAATGGGTGAATAGATACAGGTTTTTAGAGAATAGTTTCCACTGCATGTGTTTACACAGGAAGCAACACATAGAATGTAAGGAACTGGATGTAGAAAAGGTGATCCTCTGCTATGTTCATTTCTTAATCTTCAGAAGATCTCTGTTATTGCATTTATTGCAAGTACCTTAGTTGTAATTTTGTTGGTGCTATTGGAAAGATTTAGCATAGTTGATTAATTCGAGAAATTTTGTTGAGTTTTCTAAACAGAACTGGGAATAATAAGGTGCATAATGAGTTCAGGTAGTTAGTGGAAATGTACTGAAATGGCAGGGGTGGTAAATTAGATGAAACAAGCACTCTACAGGATGCTTTGTGGGAATAGAGGGCTGTGCATCAGGAAAATTACAGTACCACACAAGCTTCTGAAATTTTTTGCCTTGACTTTCCATCATAGGAAACATTCATCAGGGGTCAGACAGAATAGCAGAGGACTAAAAAATATACTTGATGGATCTGAGGCAGAATGGTGTTATAGAAGAACTGAGTCACAATTTCAATAAGGAGAATAATTGGTTACTCCAAGGTTACATTTGTGTTCATTCTCTCATTGACATCAAAGCAGCGACATTGTATTGTCTTCTGGGTGTACTACCCAGTTCCGTAACCCAAGGGGGAGGAATCTCCTGCTAGTTCCTTTAGATAGTGAGAAAGGGGCATCAAAACTTAAATTCCAAGGCTGTTAAACATCTATTTAAGTTGAATGGGATATTTGAAACATGCTAAAATTAGAAAACTTTAAATAAGTATAAGAAAAGTCTAAATTGTATAGCACTAACAATAAAAGAAACCAGATGATTAAGAGGTCAATGGGAATGCTGACAGCACAGTGAAATAATACAGCTCATCCACCAGCACCATTAAATACTGGGGGCTGGGGGGAACTCCTTTGAGGGAAGCATAGGAGGACAATACATCACAGCCAGCTTCTGAAGCTACAGCTGCTTTTACTCTTTCACATACTGTGAAGTTACCTTTGATTTTTAAAAAAATCTTCCTTTTATTCTCAACCTTTTCCCCTTCACAGCATTTCTGGCATTCATTCTTTCTGTGTTAGTCAAGAAACAGAAGCAACAGCATATATATATATATACGCACACATATATATATGTATATATGTCTGTGCATGTGTGGGAAAGAAATTTTTAAAGAATATGCTCACATGCTTAGAGAGACCAGTAAGTTCAAAATATGCAAGGTAAGTAGCCCTGATGGAAATTCAGGTGAGAGTCTATGCTGCAAGCTTGTGTACAAATTCCATAGGACAGTAGGCTGGAAAATCAGATAGGGATTTTATGTTGAAGTCTTGAGGAAGAGTCTTTCTTCTTCAGAAAATCTCAATCTTTACTAATAAGGTCTTTAACCAATTGGATGAGGCTTACCCACAACATAAGGGGTAATCTACCGTACTCAAATTCTAATGATTTAAATGTTAATTGCATTGATGTAGTTTAAATATATCTTCTAAAATTCAAATGTGTTGAAAACTTAATCCCCAATGTAGCAATGCGAAGAGGTGAGACCTTTAAGAGATGATTAGAGGGCAGAGCCCTCATGCATGATTAATGCCATAATCATGTGAGTAGGTTTATTATTGCCTAAGGGGGTTCATGGCAAGCAGATGAGTTTGGCTTCTTTCCCCTCCTCCCAAGCTCCTCCAGGTGCGCATTCATACACTCTCTCACACACGATCTCTTGCCCTCTGTCTTCCATTATTGGATGATGCTACAAGATGGCCCTTGCTAGATACTAGTTCCTTAATCCTAGACTTCCCAGCTTCCAGAACTATGAGAAATAAATTTTGTTCTCTATAAACTGTGCACTCTCAGGTAATCTGTTATAGCAGCACAACACAGATGAAGACATGCATCTAACACACCCATCAACAGCAACATTTTGATTGATGTTTGACCAAACCACTGGGTACTGCAGCCTTCCTAAACTGATGCATAAAATTAGCCATCACACTTCCCTTTATACTTCAACATCCACCACCTCAGACCTATGATCTTATAACCTTGTGTTTGAAATGACTGAAACAGATCACTCTAACCCCCCAATCCTCCTCCCACTTTCTCCATTTTTCAATTCACCTTTTCTTTTTGATGTTATCATATTCCTAAAATATTTTTCACCTAAGTTTCTCCATTATGTCCCAGGATACCAAACTACACTGATTTTCAGGGGCTCCTAAACTCTCTCCTTTCTTTCCATTCATGGTGTTCTTCCTCTTCTCCACATGACCAGCTCGTTCTGTGCTAGTCAGATCATAACTGGGCTGTCACATTTCCTCTTTAATTTTAATACACTCCCTATTGCAGACACATTTAAATTATATCTGCTGCAGTTCCCATGACGATGTCATCTCCATGGAGCCTTTACACCATATACCATCAGTAGCATAAGGCTTAGCAGTTGTGTGTTCTCTTTGTACTTAATACATGCTAACTTTGCCTTCTTAATCACATGGTAAGGCACTTGAACTTAGGAATTGTGTTAAATTTCTCTTGTAAGCACCACTTCATCTGGAACAGTGGTTGCATGAAGGAGATATCTAGCCATTCACTCATTACAGCAAAAAAAAAAAAAAAAAAAAAAAAAGCTTAAATGATGTATAAAAAGTACATTTAGGGAATTAAAAAGTGCAGTATTTTGGACTCATCTTTACTGAATTAAAACCTCTGAGGATAAACCCCCACATCTGTACTTCAACAAGCTTCCCAAGATGACTTGGATTTTGTAATTCCTGAACACTGGTATTCAGGAATTACTATATAAACATCTTGCTATTTGTTATTACATTGACAAAAGAGTTTAGAGTATGTTCCCTCTAGACAGCTGTCAAGCATGTCTGTGTTGCCAGTACTTTGCTTTGAGGGTCCCTTTTCTTATCTGTACTATGTTAATATTCTTTTAATTGTTCACCAGGCTTCCCTTCAGGCTTCTCTCCAATATTGCCTCTATACTGTACCCAGAGTGTTTTGTGATGAAAAGATTGTGACACTGATTGTGCTATCTACGTGTAAAATGCTTTATGTTCTCCTCTGTTCAGGATGAATTTCAATCTTCTTCACATGGGTTGTAAAGCTATTCAAGATGCGGTATATGCCTATCATTATAGCTTAGGCTATTTCCAATGTCTCCATTCATAAGGAACTACTCAAAACAATTTTATCTTCTTATGAGTCTTTATCTGTATATAGCTTTAAGTGATATGTAATTCATGCCATTCATCCAAGTAACAGTTATGGAATTAAAATTACATAATCCAAGCATTTGTCAGATTCTAAGGCTCCTGAAATTAAAGACACAGTCATCTTCTAAACGCTACAGTCCAGTAGAAAGACAGATAAATAAAAGCTGATTTAACAATAGCTATTATAGACTGAGAACTTATCACTTGTCAGGACTAGACTAAGAATTTTATATGAATTATCACTTTTAATCTTCACAAACGCACTATACGGAGCCTGCCAAGAGTCCATGTCTTGGAATCCGGAGCCCTCATCCTCCACTATGTTCTTCTGCTGCTGTTGGAAGAATTAAGAGGAACCACTATCATATCATAGGGAATTGCATACATTGCTCATGGCACAGCCTCCTGCATGAGAGAAAAGAAAATCAGACAAAATAAGACCAGTATTTCACTGCTCCTCTATCACATTGGGACTGATATGTTGCTTATTTTTATAGCTAAAGCAATTAAGAAAGTGCCTGCCATGTGTAGGGTGAGCAGATTCTAACATCTGTAAGGCGGGGCAACATGGGGGGGCGGAGCGGGGGGCTGAGCTGGGGGCAGAGCTGGGGTGGAACGGGGGCGGAGCAGGGGCAGAGCTGGGGCGCGGGGCAGAGGACAGGGCAGGGAGGGCAGGGGCTGACAACAAGGCAAACTTTGATAAGCAGTTCTCGATAATCACTTCTCAGCAATTATTTATTACAGTTTAACATTATAAAATTAACAAAAATAATATAAAACTCATATTCTGGTGAAATAGTCATATGGCAGCCGAAAATTGTATATTCCCTTCTTGTTCTCCAGCCTGTTCGTGCATTCTTTCCAAAAATCGGGACTTTTTTAAAACGCCGCGGGACAAATTGTTGAAAAGCAGGACTGTCCGGCCAAAATCAAGACGTCTGGTCACCCTAGCCATGTGGCAAGAACCAAATAAAAGCTTGAATGTTCCAGTTCCTTTCTTTCAACTGTCTCAGATCTCTTTACCAGTGCTCAACATGTCAACACTGACTGCGCTGAGTTTCAATCCTGGTTCTCTGTGATCTTTCCTAAACTTTCTGCTATTAGAAAAATAATTTAACATCTAATTCTTAGTTTTCTCATCAGTAAAACAAAAAACGCAACAGCTTCTATGTCATTCCAAGTTCTACTGAAAATAGGAAAATGACTAAATCATATTTGTATTTTGGGAGTGATTAATCCTAGCCACTGTGTGCAGTAGTAAGTAAAAGGCTGGACTATGAGGTTAGCAGAAGGCCTAAAGAAAAAAAACAACATGAATATCTGTGTACCAAAGTCTTATCTACAAAGTGATAGAAGAAGTACAGCTTCCTCTTGACAATTCTAGCTTCATTACACGGACCTGGACGTAACGTCTGAAATTTCAAACTTCTTCCGGTTAACTTATGATTAATTTGAATCATTCTCTTAGATTACTAAATGAAAGGTTTTTATAAGATTATAGCTAAAACAATGCCATATGAAAAACTTTGTGACTCTGTAAAAGATGTAGCTATTTGTTATACTTACCTCGCAGGGAGATACCATGATCACGAAGGTGGTTTTCCCAGGGTGAGGCTTATCCATTGCACTCTGGATGTGCTGAACCCTGCGATTTCCCCAAATGTGGGAAACTCAACTGTATAATTTGTGGTAGTGGGGAACTCTGTTCATGCTTTCCCCTAGTTAAAAAAAAAAAGATGTAGCTATTTGTTTAATGAAACAAGAAATATTTAAAGTTAAAGGGTAAAAATTTATAATTCTGATGTATCCATAAGGTAAGATTTTAAGTGGTCTGAATCTCATCTTTTAAAATTGAAAATTGAAAAGTAACCTAAATTTGAACAAACTTAAAATCTGATGTCTATTTGAAACCTGGAAGTAACTAGCAGAAGAAATAAATGGAGATGCTTAAATTTGGTGTTTATAAGATGCCTTGGAAGGCAATTAGATCTCTGAGATTGAAGATCTTAATGCTGAAAAGTTGAGGCTGTATTCTGCTTTTCTGAGGCAGCTCTATGAGGTTCTAAACCTAGGAATGCCTAGGAGACATGTGCCTCCCAGGGAAATTTAGGCTAGACTGTAAGAAAAGCACCCCTTCCACACAATGGTCCTGAAATTTGCAGGATGCTCAAGGAGAAATATCCCACTCTCAGAGACTTCCACTGTCCCTGATTAGTCAATGAGCCTTTAAACTTTCAGAGTTCTACAATAGAGTATCCCTCAGCATAGATTTAATGTTCATTGAAGGAATATATCTACATAAATCTATCACTAAAATAATCTAAAAATAAGACATGTACAAATATGAGTCTAATTTAATACTCTAAAAATCGACTATAATTATAATTAAAACTTCATTTTAATGGCACTTTTGAGAGGCACATTTAAATAATGAAAAATGGTATAGACTTTACCTTGAATATTGAGTTCATCTAATCAATAAAATTACTATTCTTAACTACTTGATGCTGAAAAATAACATAGTATGCTAATTTATCAAACTAAAATGAAATCAATAAAACAGGTAATTAATGATATGTGAAACTGTAAATGAGAATAAACTTCTCACAAATGGAAGCTTATACTGGTTATAAACACAAATAAGAATTAAATCCAAAAGTTGATGTATGTCTCCAGTGCAATATGGTGAGCTTAATATTAATATGTTGAAATGTGATTGAAGCTTATATACATCAGTGTTATGCACATTCTTAATTTAATTTGTAGAAGACAGCTGGGGCACTGTTCTTAAAGAGAAGAACTATTCCCTAAAATAAGACACTGTCTTATATTTATTTTTTCTCAAGAAGACACACTAGGCCTTATTTTCAGGGGAGGTCTATGTCTTACTCTTTCTGTGTGGAAATGCATGTATGCAGTATATCTGCATAGCCATGCTCATCACTAGGTCTTATTATCAGGGTAGGGCTTATATTTAACAAATGCATAAAAATCCTGCTAGGGCTTATTTTTTGGGTAGGTCTTATTGTTGGGGAAACACGATATATATATTTACCTATATTTCCTTCTGCCGGCATTAGAATCGAGTCTAATATCATCAGACACTTCTCCATCAGGGATTTTCAGTGCCTAAAGGCTAATTTGCTTAGTAGAACATCAACTATTACTGTTCATAGCCACCTCTGCTGATTTCTCAGGCTCATGTTCATAAATTTAAAAAAAATGAATTTCAGTTTTTTACAGACTATGTATGATTTTAATAATATAATAAATAGATACTTTGCTGGCAGTATGTAAAAAAACTCATGCATTATCTTCAGGGGCTTTTATGGCTCAATACAAACCAAAATATAAAAAATTATAGGAACTCTTCCTCAGACATTGCACATTCAATGCACCAGGTAAATGTAGTCATGGCATTGAAACTGTATTTATACTTGTGACAGTAATTGCAATATTTATAGAAAAGCTAAGTCTGTGCCTAGGGAAAAATTATGAATCTCTACAAAATTCTAGACATCATGAAAGGCACTTGAGATATAAACATGAGAAAAACATCCTTCCTCCCTTCACAGGCTCATGGTATTGTGGATGAGAAAGACATAAAAATGGTGAAATTATACCAGGGCAACAGAGTCAGACTCTGTCTCAAAAAAAATGGTAAAATTATAATTCAGCAAAGTATACCTGTAACAGCTGTACAATGGAAAATATTTTTGAATTAGAAAATGAGATGATTATAAGTAATGAAAACTTGTAATATCTCAACATTTCAAAGCAGACATTAAAGAGGAAGAGAAATGGAAGAAGAGAATGTAACACTTAAAATAAAAGTGAAACCAAGATTCAATCCATGTTCTGATTATATTGTATCATAGGAAATAACTGGTTTGATGGATTTTCTTAAATTATTTATTGATATTTTAAAAATGGAAATGATAGAAATAATGACAGTTTTATACCATGGGTAAATATAGTTAAGAAAGAAAAGGTCTTATAAACATCCTGTGTAGCTGGTACATGAAAACTTGACTGAATTAAGTTTTAATGTAATAAATATCATGATTAGAATTAAATTCATGCTTTCTATAGTAAATTATTTTATCTGACTCTGTCCTTTTAATTCATTTGAAGTGTACATGTAATCACACTGTGCTGTCAGTATTCAGGGATTTGAGTCAGCATATATGGACAGCCTATTTCCTTTACTAAATGTGTCCCCCCCAGATAGTTATAAACTTCCCACTATATTTAGTGGGAAATGGTGGATATGGGGGGTTCAGAGCCAGAAGCTTTGAGAGGAAATCTGTCTCTTCCATCTTCTGGGAAATGATGATTCTGGATGACCTTAGCCCTTACACTTAGATATTGATCAAACACTTTAGGGTCATCAGTAAGTTGAAGTTGAACAAGACTAAGACAGAGAGTACCAGAAGAAGAGTTAAAGGTGGGTGGAGGAGGCAGAGATAAGTTGTTGCCGTTAGGATCTCATGGAAAAGCCATGTCGCGAAGAATAAGCATGCTTATTGAAATTGTGTTTTAAATAAAGATGACTGTCTGTTCGCTCAGGCAAAATGGTGACCTTTCTTTATTTACTGTTGGTTTATATAATCAATCTCGTGCATGCGCACTATACAGCAATGACCTCATTAACATTCATTATAATCCCTCTGCACATGCACATTGGACATCAATGACTTCATTCATCCATTTAAACATCTTGTGACCACCCGCCCTGTAAGTAGCTCCTCCCTAGTAATCTGATAATCCACTCAACATACACCTTTAAGCTAACCCTTCAACATAACCCGGTTTAACATAACTTAATGAAGAACATGTTGTCAGTCATTACTTTCTTTGTTCTTATCTGATGAAGCCTGAGGCTATGGAGGAACAAGGTAGATTGAATACCTGCTCGCCATTTGGAAGCTGTTACTTCAAAACTTTAAGCAAGTCATAAAGAAACTTCTTGGGCATACAGGAATTTGTGTGCAAACCTCTGCTCCCATGTAGGCCTTAAGTCAGGGGGGTTTTGCTGGAACCTTTTTATAAGGAATTTTCAGGCTGGATTTCTCATAAGCCTTTCATGAGCTCAGGTTTCATCTGTGCCGTTAGATACCTGTATGTAACACTTACATTGGGTAAATTCCTCTTCTCTTGAGGTCCCCAGCACATTTCCATTCCCGGACCCATCAGCAAGTGACCTTCATCAATTTACCACAGATCAGGAAAGGCTACTGATGGGCATCTGGCCAGTTTTCCAAAGGGTTTTTTTATTGGCCTTATAAAGTCAACCAACCTTAATTCCTTAATGCAGGCTGGACATCTCTGGAAACGCTATTCCAGCCAGAGCCTTGTACATGTTAGGCCCACAACCAACCCAGTCATATGGGATTCTGCCTCAATTTCTCACAAGTATGCACAAAGTCTTTTCACTGCTCTCTCTCAAATGGCTTTTATGGCCAGAGGCATATAGGCATTTCACCTATATAAGTCTAGCCAGACTCCTTCTTAATTCTAGGACGGACTGCTACTGAGGACTGGCTGTCTAGAGAGGCAAGGGCTCTCAACTAGGAATAAAATTAAAATAGTTTCTGCTGTATTGTTTCCAGTAGGTCAAATTTCCAGCTGCTGGAATTGTAGGGCCAATGGAAAACAATTCTTCTGGTCAGACAAGGCTGCCATGTGACTTTAGTCCAACTAGCTAACCCTTGGGTGGGAGGATCAACAATCTTTAGGACTGCACATACTATGTTAATTCCCTGTACCCAAGGATAATTTCAACCACTTTGAGATTTCTCTCTTTCTTGGCTAAACTAATTGAAAGGATGGGCACATTTCCTCTAACATTTTAAAGTAAGTGTTGAGCTTGGTTAAATTTCCTTGATTAATTTGGTTTTGGTGAAACTCTGACACATTAGAAAAACCTAACTATAAATGTAATATCTGATGTCCTTCATAGGTAATAAAAATTTTTCTGGTCTGTTAATGGCTTATGATTACTTATTATACTGATTAACTTTATTATTGCCTACTATACGAGTTTCTGGCTTAATGAGATATTTAAGGAATATAAATTATTTATTTAATTATATTCATCCCCAATGTAAGTGATATGAAATCATACACTGTCATTCAAATAGTAGGATTACTTCATAATTATCATAACAAAGATGTTCAGAGAAAGTTGCATTAAAAAGATGGAAGAGCACCAGTGCCTATAAGAGTCAGTTATAATCTGATCTTTGTATCTAAAAGAAGATTCAATTAGAAGACGAGCTTATTCCCATTACAAAGATATCCTAAAGTTGAACATTGGGTAGGGTCAAAGAGCATACGTAAAATTGAAAGACTTGGCTTATGAGTATTCCTTTCCCATTTGAAGACAAATGGTGTGATGCCTTCTGTGGTGGTGAATATATCATTAACTTAGCTTGATTTTGTTAAATGTGGGCTTGATCTAACTTCTTGATCCTATTCCTTGTTCCCCAAGAAGAAATAATAAACATGCAGCTCCCCAAAGTATTCTCTATGATCAAATGGGCACAATCAATCAACTGCCCATAAGCAATTATAAATTAATACATTAACATGATAATAATATACTAGTAATATGATATAAGTTTTAAATCAGTAAATTGAAATTCTGGGTTTCATACTAGTCTTACCAACCAGCCTGGTGTTCACCCATTTCTGACCCGGAAGATGTAGCCGTCCTTAG